AAATTAATTAGTTAACAAATTCATTCAGAAAAAAAATAAAATAATTTGACTTATTTAAAATAAAAGATTAAAAAAATTAGAAAGATTTAGTTCTTATTTAGTTTTTCGGTTCCTGATTTAGAACCGATAATCAAATCGAACTCATCGGTACTCGATTCAAATACCCATTCGGATATTTAACTTAAGAAGAACCGCTCGATTCGGTTCAGTTCCAATTCGGTTCAGGATTTTTGTCCAACTCTAATAATTATCCNNNTTTTGTCCAACTCTAATAATTATCCTAACAATAAATAACTTTTGCTAAATAAAATTACAAATTTACCATTAAAAATAGTTATATAGTCCACGATGCACATAATCGAAAATAAAAAAATTAAACCCTTTTGTATCACACAATGTATAAGTTTATACACTAAAAATTTAACTATTTTTTATTCACTAAAAGTTCAATTACTATTTCATTTTTATTTTTTCTTATTATCTATCCCTATATAAATTTACATTCAGCCGAGTCTTTCACTACATTTACAAAAATGTTTTCCATTTTAATTATTAAAAAATATAATTTTTCATTATATTTATATATCTTCTCTTCCATGAAGATTTCTCGAAGAATAATAAAAAATCATTTGCAATGGATCCAATGGAGTTATGCATGCATTCTTAGCAATTTTTTTAAGTTGCAAAAATTTTCAAACTTAAAAATGAATAGGAAATATATTTTCACCTCGAAAATAATAACCGATATCCAAAATTATTTTACTTGGTTTTTTATATTTTAATTTGTTGAACAAATAATATTAATTAAAAGACTTCAATTAAGACTTCATTGTTTTTACAAAACTGGAAGAGCAAATGAAGTATTTTCTATATGTTTTAATATTTTAAATTAACTTACTAAAATAATTTTTTTATTTATTTGATGTTAAATTTTAGGAAAAAAAAAAATTCTATAAATCTTATGCACACAAAAAAAATAATCAATTAAAACATGGACCATCCATAATTAGAAAATAGTATGCAAAACGTTACAAAAAGTAAAAATAAGTTTTGAATTTTTATTTCAATTATGGGTATATTTTACTGTTGAACATTCTAAAGCAACGAGTGCCTTTTGTAATCACTAGTTTCTTGTCCGTGCAATGCAAATTTCTAATATTTCGATAAATTTCTAAAAATCATCTGGAGATTAATAAATAATGCAAATATATGTAATACATGCAAATATTGAGGGAGAGACCAAAGAGATACCTTTGGTTGACAATTCAACGAAAGCCCAGAGATATAAT